TACTACCTAGGTGCTTGTTTCAGCCCATAAAGTCTCCTTTTCAACTTGCACACCATGTGTTTCTTCGCCTTTACTTCAAAACCTTCTGGTTGCTTCATATAGATCTCTTTTTCCAAATCTCCATGCAGAAACACAGTTTTCACGTCCAACTGCTCCACTTCAAGATCTAGGCTAGCTGCCAAACTCAAGATTGTTCGAATAGAAGCCATTTTGACAACATGTGAGAAAATTTCATCAAAATCAATACCTTTCTTCTGTTCGAAACCTTTTACCACCAATCGAGATTTGTGTTTGACCAGCTTGCCATTTCCATCTTTCTTGAGCTTAAAGACCCACTTGCACTTGAGCGGTCTTTTGCCTTTTGGAAGTTCAACCAGTTCGTACGTATCATTCTTCTGTAAAGAATTCATCTCTTCTTGCATGGCTTCCATCCACTGGATTTGTTCCGGATGAGATAGCACCTCCTTGAAATTCTCTGGCTCCCCCTCATCAGTGACTAGGATATACTCCGAAGAAGTATACCTTGTGGACTCTACCTTCTTTCTTTCAGATCTTCTCAAAGGTTGTTGTCCTTCTTCTTGCTGTTGTTGCTCTCCTTATTCCTTTTGTGGACTAGGGTGCTCCCCCTGCTCAGCAACCTCTTCATCTACGCCTTCTGTGTGCCATTCTTCATCTGTGGAAGGATTACGTACAAGTACAACAAGAGTAGTAACAAAGTTAGTAACTATACCATTATCATTTTGGTCTTTGTTGATTGATCACTATCAATCCCGACCACATCTTCTCTGAAAATCACATCTCTGCTTCTGATGATCTTTTTCCTTTTTGGGTCCCACAATCTGTAGCCGAACTCTTCATTTCCATAACCGATGAAGATGCACGGAATAGCTTTGTCATCCAACTTCGTTCTCTGCTCCTTCGGCACATATGCAAAAGCTTTACATCCAAACACTTTCAGATGGGAGTAGGACACCTCTTTGTTGGTCCAGACTTTCTGTGGAATGTCAAACTCCAATGGAACTGATGGACTTCTTTTAATCAAGTAACAGGTTGTGCGAACTGCTTCACCCCAAAATAACTTAGGTAATTTTGCCATTTTGAGCATACTTCTCACTTTTTCGACAATGGTGTGATTCATCCTTTCAGCTACACCATTGTGTTGTGGGGTTCCAGGAACTGTCCTATCATGTCTGATTCCATGGCTTGAGCAGTAGTCTTCAAACTCCTTTAAAGTATACTCTCCTCCATTGTCTGTCCTGAGACGCTTTAATTTTTGACTTGTCTCCCTTTCCACTAGAGCATGAAATTTCTGAAATGCTTAAAATACCTGGTCTTTGGTCTCAAGAAATAAACCCACAATTTCCGTGAAACATCATCAATAAATGTGAGAAAATATTTGTTACTTCCCATTGATTCTACATCCATTGGACCACAAACATCAAAATATACTAAATCAAGTATATTCGATTTTCTTCCATGAGTTGCTTGAAACGATACCCTGTGTTGTTTTCCAAATAAACAATAATCACAAGAATTCACAGTTTTACCTTTTGCAAATGAGATGAGTGACTTTTTGTATAGGATCTGCACTCCTTTCTCACTCATATGGCCTAATCTCCGGTGCCATAAATCTGCAGGCGTATCATCTACAGCCACATGTAATCCATCTTCACATATCTCAACGGTTGTCTTGTACAATGTGTAGGGATCAACTCCTTTAGCAATCGCCAATGATCCCTTGGTGAGTCTCCACTTCCTATTGGTGAAGTGATTCTCGTACCCGTCTCGATCTAGAGCGATCCCTGAAATCAAATTCATTCACAGATCTGGTACGTATCGCACATCTTTTAAACTAATGTGCATCCGACATTTGTCTTGATACAATTGTCGCTAATCCCCACAATCTTTGAGTGACTGGTATTTTCCATTTTGACCATTCCAAAGTCTCCTGCTTTGTACCTACAGAAAAATTCTCTTACCGGTGTGGCATGTTAGGATGTTGCTGTGTCAACCACCCATTCTGACTCTTGGTTTGCTAAGTGCATGCATTCCTCCTCCTCGTGAACGAAGAGAACCACCGAATCATTGTTGTGCACTGCAGCGATTGTGTTGTCATCATTCTTCTGGCCACTGCTCTCGCCTCGACCTTTCTTTGGGCAATCTCTTTTGAAGTGACCGGGTTGACCGCAACTGTAGCAATTTCTACCCTTTGACCGGTTACTGGACTTTCCACGAGCTTTGGATTTATCCCGGCTACTCGATGCTCTATAAAAACTTCTTCCTCTGTTTTCCATGATAAGAGTCTGGCCCTGATTTTCGGGCTTCTTCGTCATCTTATCATTGAGTAGGATGGCCGATGTGACCTCTTTTAAATTGATGATATCTCTATCATGCAGGATGGTTGTTGCTAAATTATCATAGGAAGATGGTAACGAGTTTAAAAGTATGATAGCCTTATCTACTTCAGTGATTGTTTCTCCAAGGTTTGCCAGCCGCGTGATTAATCCATTGAACATATTTAAATGGGACAAGAAATTTGTACATTCATTCATATGGATGGCATAAAGTTACTTTTTTCAAAAATAACTTGTTTGTTAAGGATTTGGACATGTATAGACTTTCTAGTCTTTTCCAAATACCATATGCACTATTTTCATCCCCGACATTATTGAGTACTTCATCGGACAAGTGCAGTCTGATTGCACTAGCCGCCTTCTTATCCATGTCTGCACATTCCTCGTCTTTCATGGTTTCCGGCTTTGCCTCTTTTCCATCTAGTGCAATGTCTAACCCTTGTTGGATGAGTAGGTCCTTCATCTTTCTTTGCCATATGGAGAAACCGTCATTACCGTTGAATCTTGTTATTTCATACTTTACTCCTGATATTTTTTTTGCCATAGAGTAAAATTGTCTGTAAATAATATTTCTCTGAATGAGCAGAACCTGTGCTCTGATACTAGTTGTTGGGAAAATTAACCATCACAGAAATAATATTCACGGTATATGACTATAATAAATGCGGATTACTAAAATACCGTAACCAACAATAATAATAAGAGAAACAAGGACACCGAGATTTTTACGTGGAAAACCCTTCTGAATAAGGGAAAAACCACGGCCCGAGAGGAGCAACTAATTTCACTATAGTGAGTATTTTACAATTTGTGGTACCGAGTAAAATACTCCAAGATTACTAAATACTCAAAAGAAATAACTCTTTTTTGATTTTCCACCTCACTACAATACCGCTCAAACCCTCTATATTTTTCCTCACAGAGTATTTTGCTTCTTACTCTGTAAATCACTTTCTTTCTCTTTGTTTTGGTGTGATTACAAATGAAGGTAGATGCACCTATTTATAGTTGAAGAATGTCCATATTGATGTATGCAATGACATCAATATTCACTTCAAAAGCTAGTTGCCCAAATTGAACTTCTAAATTGATTGGCTCGACAAAACCAAAAAGGAAACTTATCTTCTTTCACATGGGCCATGAGATGGACCCAATAGGTCTCTTTTCCGCTGCTGGATGCATGTATATGTTGAAGCGGCTAGGAAAGCAACCACACCATAACTGGCATAAGTTGTGACCCCCTTCCATATCTGAAGCTCTTCTATCGGAATTGAGTGGCTCCTGAATGTCGCCTGTTGATTCAAAGATGGTGAAACTTTTTAAGCTTCATACTTTCATGAAGAATGCGAATGACATCCTCTTTTAATTGGAAATCAAGGAAAGATGCAGCCTTTAACGAGGTATTTTGAGGAGATTCTATGTGGAGTTCAATTTGGTCGTCAACACACTTTCCATTCAAATGGTATGAGACGCTACACGAACATTTTGCTTTTCACTATTTGGCACGAACTAACTCACACCTCGTATTTACTATCGGAGAAGCAAGATAGCCTTGGTGGTAGAATTTGGGTTTGCATTTCATCCCCCGGAACAGCTCTCCGCCTCTCCGGCTTTCTGATGACTAGTGAAGGTCTTGTCGATGATCAGCAAATAATTATGAGTATCAAAGCATTTTAGATGAAAGAGGTTTTTTTTAAAACAATTTATTTGTGATAATTTTGTCCGTTCTTCATCGGATTCATGCAGTATTGTTGAAATATCATCCTTGGAATATGCTTTTTATTACTTTGGTTTGAGAAGAGAAATTGGAAGGAACTTCATATAAATGAGTTGTTTCTCGGGACATTGATCCCTCACCCTTTTATATAAAATTTTGGAGTCCACTATACTTTTCCAAGAATGAAATTTAAGCCCTTCAATTATTTTCGACTTAAGAAGAATAGGGGTAATTTCTTCTCAAGAAAAATATTGAGATCACGTGAAAAACCCGAGGAAAGAAAAAGAAATTGGCCAAGGATATTTCCTGTTAAACATTAAAAAGAACTCTTTTCTCATTTATGTCACTTAATTACTGTTTAGACGGTCAAGCAAATCATTCTTTAACACATTTCTTCCATTATAGTTAAAATTTAGCGGTATTGATTTGTACTTTTTCTATTTTAATTTCTAGATTCATACTTTTTGTTTAGAATGAGATACACTGCTCTATTCAAACTATTGTGGTAAACGTCTTATTATTTCTATGCAGAACGTCTTATTATATTTCTATCGACTAGGAAGAAAAAATAATATTATGACGTAGCTTTTTCGTTAAAGACAATAATAGTAGGCCAGAACTCTGTTATCTGTCAATGTAGAAAAGTTGTCAATGTTTAATCATCTTTTATTCCTCCGTTCTCTAAAATATTTGTCCTATTCATATACAGAAAAATATAAAATAAAATAGAAGTAATTACCACTCCAATTTGATTTACTGCCCCTTTCGGTCCATATTAGTTTTTCTATTTCTCTTTTATACGTCTTTTAAAAAATTATTAATAATTTTTTTTTAATACGATACCCTTACTTATTTCTTTAATCATTCAACATATTAATCCTCTTCAATAAGTATTCTATTTATTTATGGATTGTTACTCTTCCATTTAGATTTTCTATGCTAGTTTTTTTTACTTTCAAGAATATTTAGTACTAAGAGCAAATTGGAAAAAAATGATAAATTATATCTTAATTTTTGAAACTGATAATATTTTGAATTAGATATATTTAGTAAGGAGGAGAATTAATATGGAGCGCAGGGAGTATTATCGGAACCTTTTATCTTTCCTAAAGAAGAATGCCACTACTTTATTTCTTGCTATATGCACCTGTTTATGCAAGCTAAAAGAAAATGTTACAAAGGTGGAGAAAAAGAATGTTAAAAAGGGAAAACTCATTTACGAGGGGAAATAACTGTTGAGAAAACCGAACCAGTGCCACCGTCTTCCACAACTCCTAAATCTCAGAAATGAAATTCTTCATCGGAAAAGCCTCTACTCTTCACTCTCATCATCATCAATTTCTTCTTTATATAGTTTCACCTCAATCAAATTATATGGCTCCACACTCTATCTCTCTGCTAAACAATTATTATCCCAATTTTATTACAAAGCGGTGGCTCAGTACAGGGACCGAGTCGGCTCAGTCCGAGTTTACCGGACTCAACGCTTACGAGCTATTAGGTGTGTCAGAAACAAGCTCTTTTGCTGAAATCAAAGTCTCTTTTCGTAAATTGGCTAAGGAGACTCACCCTGACCTCCTCCCTCATTCCACGCCCAATTCCTCCTCTACTTCCAAGCAATTCGTTGACATACTTGCTGCTTATGAGGTCATGCATTTCTTCCCTATAATTTCCATTTTTTCAGTGATATTAATCTTTTCACTTTCTTTTTTCTTTTTAATTTTTTAATGTATTCTGCCTCAATTTACTTTGTTATCAGGATAAATATAATTGTTGAATTGTTCTTAGTTCAATTCAATCAATGTGCAATATTTGTTATTAGCTACAATTAAGGATATAAAATACGTATAGTAAAAAAAATTGAGATGTTTAAGGGTTAATTTCATGGATGATCACTCAACTTTCACTTATTGAACCAAAATTACCAAGCTATTTTTTGTACTTAGCTTTATCCAAGTATCATCAAAGTCACTAAACTACTTTTTGTAACAAAAAAATTGCTCAACTTTGCTTAAATACCACATGAAGTCACTAGGAGAAAAACAAAGGAGACGTTTTCTAGGATATTTAGGCAAAGTTGAGTGTCTTTTTTATTACAAAATTTATTTAGCAACTTTTGTGACACTCAGGCAAAGGTGAATGACACACAAAATAGTTTAGTCACCTTGGTACAATAAAATGAAAGTTGAGTAACCGTCCGTGAAATTAACCGGATGTTTCACTTCGCCTATCCTTGCAAAGTATATTTAGTTCCAGATCTGGATAAAAGAGGAGCATTGTGGGCGAGTAAAAATACGAATCAATGGAAAATTAACTTCGTGAACAGAGTGGAGTGGATGCAGATGACTCGTATAACTGATTGACCCAGGTTGGAATTGAGGAGTACGAAAAAATTGGGATATTTAAGAGCCTCAATTTTTATGTTGATTGAAAGTTTAATTGAACACGAGAGAAATATAAGCATAGGCTTTGTTGCAGTTTTTTGCTTAATTTAGGACCACATGAGCTAAGCTAGACTATGATTTGAATATCAAATGTGTAAACTGCTCTGTTGGCTATTACAGTTTTGTTTTGTTTTGTTTTTGGGATCTTCCATATTTGTCATGGTATATCCATTTTAATGCTTGTTAAAGTGATCCCGAGTTGTGAAAGAAAAAGGGCCATGATTACCCCAATCCGAAGTGTGAAAATCCCCTTCAAAATCGCCCAAATCCGAGCTCCAACAACAACATACCCAGTATTATCCCACAATCCGAACTCCATAGCTCAAAATATGATAAAATGACCAAGACCTTCGAAATAGAGTACTTTAAACACTGCTCCAGAGGTACCCTTCGCGATCGCGGTCACCAACCCTAAAGCAAGCACGCCTTCTCAGGGAGAATGAAATGAGGTGAAATCATGTTACTATACAGACATGGACGCCATTATGACAGAGTAGATGCTTTTCATTCTTAGTTGATTCAATAAATCAATATCCTAGAAGTCCTCTAGAATTTCATAATTATTACAAAAATGACATTTAAACTTGTACAAAAGTGACATTTAAACATGTGCACATTTAACATCCTAGTCCTCTATGGTGGAATATTATACTGCATATGCATATGGTGGACTATATGGCTCGAGAGGAACAAAAGATGCTTTGAAGATGCAACCAAATGTGTGCTCTAGTGGTCAAAGAAGTGGGTTAGAACCATGAGTTTTCAGGTTTAAATTTAGTGGAGGCTTAAACACGAGGTGATTTCTTATCTGTCCAAGCGTTAGTGGGAGGTAGCAAGTACCCGTTGAATTAGTTGAAATGCGCGCAAACTGGTCCGGCCACCACGGTTATCACAAAATAAAAAGATGCGTTGAAGATATTGCTAAGTTAATTCTTAAGATAAAGGCTAATTGTATATCTTTGTTTTGCTTTGGTGTAGAATGGAACATGTAAATGAGGCTGAAGTACTTCTACAACTACTAGAATTGGTACAGGATAGTTGGGATTTTTTGCTGGTTTTTTGGGTCCTCTGCTGATGTTGTACAATTTTAACAGCACATCCTTTGTGGTGGATTATATATGAGATTACTTTACCTTCTCCAAAAAAAAAAAAAAAAGTGAAGGGTAATATCTTTATTTACTCGAAAGAATACTGGTATTTACTTGGATAACAAATGGAATGCAGATTCTATCCGATTCTGAGAAGAGAGCGCATTATGACCAGTACCTCTCAGCTCGAAAAACACTTGTTCATGTGCATTCTAGACAAGGTTCGAAAATGTGCATGTATGAATCATATAGCACATCAATCAAGGAGATGGAAGTTGTTGAATGGTTAAAGTGGTATAGACAAACAGTAAATGACATATTGGCTGAAAAAAGGGTAGTATNGAAAATGTGCATGTATGAATCATATAGCACGTCAATCAAGGAGATGGAAGTTGTTGAATGGTTAAAGTGGTATAGACAAACAGTAAATGACATATTGGCTGAAAATAGGGTAGTATCTGGATCAGGCTATTTTGATGCACTGGAAAGAGATTTCTACTCAGCATTACATTTAGCATTCTACGGCCCTGAGATTGAGTCAGATCTCCTTCCTGAGTGTTTTGAAGCTGAGGAGAGATCAGTATATGAAACAGCTGAGGTTCTGCACCTGGTGTTCGGGCGAGATCTTTTTGGGATGGTCTGTTTAGCCAAAAATGTCTCCGAACTGTCACATGCTTCTATGGAAAAACTAACTTCCTTTACGCCGGGCTTGTGTCATTCCATTGAGAATATCCCCATGAAAATGCATCCGGAGACGGCTCATACTGGTTCTGATCAAAGGCAATTGAGAAGTTCTAATTACCCTACATCAGATGCATACAGAAACTTGGAATTGCATGTTGGAAGGAGGCTTGTTGCTGTGGCCACAAGAGTTCCACCTAGGAGTAGATCTAATGGGATACAGAATGAGGGTTTTGATGACTGCATTCATGTTTACCTCAATTCAGATGAAGTCCAAAGATTTTCTAAAAGTAACTTTATAGATTTCGGATTGAAATCTGCCGTTCCACTGGGAATGATAACAGGGTTGGGGACCAGTCCTGAAGAAGGTTCTTGCGATGTTTATGACAACAATGGTCTAAAAACCCATGTGATTATGAAGCATCGAACATTGCTGGTGAGTCTAATATCATCTATTATATTCTTTATCTTTTATCCTGTCAAATATCTTTTGCTAGAAAAAGAAGGGGATGGAGGGGCGAGTTGGTACAATGAGCAATACCAGTTCTTTCCCTATCTGCCAGCTGCTTATGAGGAGTAGTTGTAGATTGCTGTAAACATTGCATAAAGTTGCAAGTGTAGTTCTAAGGTCATTGTCTGAATGCAATAGAAAAATGTCTAGGCTTGCCTTCACTATGCTTTTTGGTGTTTGGCCTTTAATATGTTGGTTGGTGTTGCGGTATACCTGACTTGCAAGTAGTCATGAATTGTTTTCTTTGTCTTATGGACCATTTCTGTCCAATCTAAGAGATACTTGGAGTAGCTTAGCATATTCTACACTTCTTCTACACTTATTTATCTTACAACCACATGCACCGTGTACAAATTTAACATCCTTCCTCTGCACTCAAGTGTAAGGTTTTGACAGGAGGTATGGCTTATCTACAAGCGATGTCTTGTTGTAGCTGAAATCATTCTCCTTTTAATACTCTATGGTTGGCCAAGCATCAAGCTCGTAGTACTTCTGATTGGATTTTGATATCATAGTTGCTGTGCTGGCAAGTCCTAGGATGGTGGTCCATGGAGTAGTTGGAGCAATCAAAGGGGAAGAGTGAGAGAGCGATCACGGCCATTCGAGATGGCAAATAGAAAACTCATTAACATAGTATAGAGTGGAAGATATGGATGGAGTTCTTCATTGGTTTTGTCAATGGAGAAAAATGAAGCCTAGAAAGAACTGAGTGTGCGTCTAAGGTGATTTTTACAGTGGTAGTTCAATTGACATCCTTCATCCGGCATATCCAGAGGCGGAGCTAGGATTTTGCGTTTATGAGTTCTGGATTTTAGAAAATGCAGCTTCATGGCTTCTTCATTACTGTTTTTCAACATGGCTTCTTTTCCAATCCTGCTTAGAAATTTTTTTGAGCTGAGGTCTATCGGAAACAACCTCTCTACCTCCACAAGATAGGGGTAAGGTCTGCGTACTCACTACCTTTCCCAGACCTCAATTGTTGAAATACACTGGGTATGTTGTTGTTATTGCAGCTTCATGGGTTCTAGATAAATTATTTATATATATTAAATGGATTTTTTAACATAAGTACAAGAAATTTATGCAAGCGGATTCGGAAAAATACTAGAACGTTACACTTGGGATTTGAACCTGTAACCTAAAACAATTTTTAAACCCCTTTGCCACTACACTAGAATCTTACCACTTGGGATTTGAACCTGTAACCTAAAACAATTTTTAAACCCCTTTGCCACTACACTAGAATCTTACCGGATGTCATGAGCTTAGTTTACATATAACCAAAAAAAAAAAACATTCACATTATAATATTTTGGTGAAGGGGATTCAATTACCCCCTTGGCTCTACATAGCTCTGCCGAGGATACTAGGATTATATTGGGCTTAATAGCATGGATGTGGACATGGGGTCTTGTTGGATGATGACACAAATTCAATCATGAAGACCGGAAAACTTTAATTTTGAGGGGACATGTCGACGTGACCCAATTGAATTTTTGTTGTAGTTAGGTTATGCAAGTTTCTTATGTAGCATAGGCCAAAAAAGAACGTTGAAAAAATATATACTTAGATGACTATACCCGCAAAAGAACTCAGATATAGTTATGTCTGAAAATTTGCAATAAATGTATCCTTTCTCTTGTATATGAACCTCTGTTATCCACTCATACCTCCGTTTATGATTTCCAAGTGTTTTAGAAGGCGAAGGCATAGAACAAGACATTGTAGCTATACTGGGGCGGAGTGTAACCCCAGAAACTTTGAACTCTTAATATTTAGTACTCCTTCCGTTCATGTTTAGTTGTCCATTTTTGACTTTGCACTCCGTTTAAGAAAAAATAAATGAATATGTATTTTATAATTTTACCCATAAATGATAGTATCTCCAAAAGTCGTGGAAATAATTTGGGGAATGAGTAGTTAATGATAAGGGAAAACATGAAAAAAAAGATTGTCTTTCTCTTGATTTAGTATAGTGGACAAGTAAAAGTGAAAACGCATTTTTAGTACAGTGGACAAGTAAAAGTGAACGGAGGGAGTAGTAAAATAACATTAAGAAATAAATTAAAAGATAAATTTCTAAAAAAAAATTAAAATTCAAAAGATAAAAGGTATAAATATTTATTTAACTACCTAGGCATAATATAATATTCTAAGCCATCAAGCTCTTAATTGTAGAACAACGTACTCATTATATAAATTATAGACAAATACTTGAAAACATTTATAAATCAAACACTGTGGCGTTTTGAACGGGCAATCCAAGGCGTAAAGCATGCACGAGCCATTCTTGGAGTGTACTGGATAGACAACCTAAGGCGTAAGGTGTCCATAAGGCGAATGCCTCACCTGTCATGGCATATACCCCATGGGACTTTAGCTGTTCCATCTTGCGTCTACAATGTTAAGAGCTTACCTCGCCCCAAAGGAAGTTCCAGACGAGTTACAATTTTTTCTTTCAAAAAAATGGACTTTCCCCTTTTCATGTCTTTTATAATTTAGTAACTTACTATTTCTGACTGAACAGTTTGTTATAGATCAACAAATAGTGTAGGAGAATAAGCACCACCAAAGATGTGATCAAGTGAATCAGAAGAAGTTTGGTGTCCAAAACATAAAGAATGCAAGAAAAAGAACATGTTCGACATGTGTATAAGAATTTTTTGTCAGTCTCAGTCTCCGATACAAAGCCTTAAATTTTGGAGCCATGTTTTTTTAAATCTAGCATTATGTACTTTCACTTCTTTGAAGCAAAGGAATAGTCATGAGAAGTCCAAGTATTTATGAGCTTCTGCTCTTAGCCATCTAAACCTCAGGGTTCCATCTTTAATTGGACTCTGTAATGTGGCTCCACAAAGATGAACTGTGGATATACCATGTGTTCACAGCACATTGGTGGTTTTCCCGATATGATTCTTTGGTGGGTATTCCATGGATTGATGGCTTTAATTGACGAATTTGCTTGACTTCCGTGATGATAAATTCACTTCATGGCTTTAACTAGTCGAAAAACCTTTTTGCATAGATTCATAGATGCACGCTGCAACATCCTGTTGTAGTCCGTGCATGAACCATCACTCTTACATGTGCACCTGTCATTTGAGAATATTGTGCTTCTTAAGCTTTATGTATCCTGGGTTTTATTAGAATTCTTCTTACCATGTGCCATACATGCCGCTCTGGAATTTGTTCTTGGAATGGCTGTCTTTCTCTTGGCTTAAGGAATCATATTCATAATTTTTCCACTTTAATTTGCGTGAGAAATTTGTTTCAGGTAAGACACATGCACTGGTATCAATTAGGAGAAGTATCAACCTGTGAGTGCAGATGCCGCAGAGCTAGGCTACCTCCGAGCAAGTAAAGTCCATAACTTAACCTTTTGAGTCAATACTCATCAGAAGTGCTAGTTTTTCTCTCTATATTTTTGTCAAACTATCATGGGACTTTTGTGCCTATTCTTTAGTTACAAAGTAAATGTGGAGAGGTGGGCTTAGAGATGAATCAGACTACAAAACTGGAGTTAATCTATCTTATTGAGTTGGATGGAAACGAAAAGCTGAAATGGAATGACATCATTAAAGGAAGTTATGGTTTACTAATTTATTGATGTCTAGTCATCCACATTTAGCTTTGAGCTTGGAAAATTGCGCCTCCTGGTCAATGCTGTCTCTTTTTACTTACGATCGCTGCAGTCTTCCATTTTCTGTCATCCTCCCTCTCTTTTCATTTTTTTTTGTTACTCTTTCTCAGAAGGTGGAACTATGAAAGCTTATGGTTAACTATTAAGAGACAAATGGTAAGAGAACTAGTAGTTATTTTTGTGCTCAGTAATTATGGTTTATTGTACTTTTCAATGTCATTAAGAGTCATAGTTAGGCTCCTTTCTATTTATATCACAAGGCTCTGTCTGCTCTTCCTATGTTGGTACATTGGTGCTTGTTTGTTGGAAGCATAGGAGCTTTTGACCACAGTATCCATATGGTTAGCGGATCAAGTTGTTAGATTTGCTTTAAATCGTTTTTTTAGTAGTTTAATGAATTACCGGCTCCTAGAGACACCAGTGGCCAAGTATAAAGTTTAGCAGAAGATGATGCCATTGGATTGTGAATTTTCTTTTTAATTCATAACTTAAAAGCCAGGAAATCCATAGAACATTGCGCTTGTGATATTCATATCAGAGTGTTCTCTGGTAAATCACTGTTTTTCTTGTTAGTATACAAGATATAGGTCTCTCATTTTCACTTGGTTTTTTGTTTATTGATGTCATTAGTAATGAGTTTTCTCTCAAACAGATTTTGGCTATTTGAACCTCGATGTGGCATGCATGACATTGGAGGTTGGTATGTGGAGACGTTTGGCAGAGATAAGAAAGGTCGAAATGTGCTATCTCAGAGGTATTGGGATGGCTTAGGGGCAAATGATCACTTTGAGAAGTAAGTGTCAGGTTATAGAAGCCTCAAACATATGAAATTAAATTCTCCACCCATTTAATGATAAGCTTATACATTGTGGCAGTCTGGCAGAAACAAATTTAAGTATTTTATGAATTTTGCTGATAATTATGCTTTGATGTTTTGCATCTTTGTAAATTGATATTATTGTGACAATGTAGGATGTGTTTACACCCTGCTTGAAAAGATTAATATGAAAATCTTACTTTCCGTGCTTCTAGTCTAGCAGAAGCCACTCGGCTACAGCTGGTTATCTTTCTCATTATGTCCCATGAATTTGGGAAATGTCTCCAACTGTAATCACCATGTATAATCCTCTTCTCTTGATGTTGCATATACGAGTTGCCATACGAAATGTTGTCGGATTATTCAGTAGGCTCGAAAACAGTATTGTGGGGTTTGATGTGCAGATATATTTTTCCATGTGCAGGAGACTGCATCCAGCAATGTACTTGCTTGCCCTTGCCTACAGGACTCTAGATATTGAAGATTCAAGGAGAAGTAAACAGAGAATGAAGGATCTTGTGGAATCAAACGTATCTAGAATTCTCAGCTGGTGCAAGAGACTAGTACACTGAAACATAATGACATTCAGTCTTTATGATCATATCCTTGCTCAGCCCCAGAATTTAATAGGCACCTGTATTCTGGTGGTCCTCTGATGGTACAGATGATTCACACTTGTTAAAGAATCCTCATATAAGCCTGCATAGGTTGTTGATTTGGATGGCTTGTGGATTGATGAGCCAAACACCATGAGCCTTGAACACAACATAGATATTTTATATGCTGCAATTGAATTCACCAATCTCTGTGAAGCAGCTTAAAAGTGCTCTTTAACCACCAATGAGATTGCTCTGCTTTGTATTTCCTGGTCTCTCATTTTCGGTGCCACGACCCAATGTGATATTATGTAAGGTGACACCAGTCAGCTCACTAAGGAATTGAACCTGTGTTTCATTATAAGCTAGTTTGGTTACTGGATGGAATTGCTGAAGCAACATCAATAATAATACCATGTTAACGGGAAGAGTTGCATGCTTACTGCCTTCGGTGACACTACATAACGCTAAACTATACTGCTCCTTATATGTTGGAAGCCATATGTGGATCACGACATTATGGGCCGGAAAAGGGATTTGATACCTCAAGCAGGAACCAAGTAACACCTCAAGCCAAGGGAGTGAAGCATGGTGTTAATGCAGATGGAAGCTATTAATGTTTGGGGTGATGGCTTGCATTACAGGGAGGCATTTGATCAAAAGATTATTGTGCACTTTCTGAGTTGCTGTAACTAATTTACTTATTATCCTCATACTTCTGTTATTGGCATACAGGTTCTCTGATATATACATCAAATTGTTGTCCATGAATATAACAAAACGATTGCTGGTTAGTATATTTGAGTTCAATTGCACAAATCTTGTAAGCAGCTAGAGACTTTCTTTTTAGGGAAGCAGTCAAGAGGCTTTTAACTGTTGTTTTCTTATCTTTTTATTTAAGTAGATGTTCTTCCATTTTGTTTATTTCTGAAGTAATTACAGTGGACTTTTACTTCTTCTTTTTTCTTTCTATATTTATTTTTACTATTCTCATGCTAATTCTTGTAGGCTGTAGCTAATGAATCCTACAGCATACGGATTACTTTCAGGATTGAGGGTTTTGGTATGGCATACAGCGAATACCTTTTTTTGTGTGTGCTCTCTGTCCAAAAATGTTTAGTTATCTTAGTTTGTGATTATTTTTCCTTCTAGATTAAATTAGCAAAATCCTGTGCATTCATCGGGTGGGATTAGGTTTTTTTTCTCCTCAATCCAGATAAAATATTGACGTGAATATTAACGGATTGAGAACAAAGTATATACGAACTGTTTAAAATTTAAATTAGATTTTATACTAAGGAACCTGGTTTTGCGGTTGATGGAGTTGTAATTTCTTATTGGTTAAATTTTCTGCGTAATCTTCGTTTGGCTTGTTGTACCAAAAAATTATAATGAAAGCCTATCTTTGGTAAAAGAATATACGAAGTTAAATCTTAAACTGATATAATTCACAACTAGCTGGACGTGTCGCACGACTCCAGTTGTTTTTGTTTCGCTTGTGGTTAGTGGAATCCTCGTGTATTTCTTGTTTGGTTGACCAAAAAATCTTTCAGTACATCAGATCTAAAAAAATTAACAATCAGCACTCACATTCTGCACAGAGAAGGGGAGAAAATTATTTACTATCAAAAAATATATATAGAGGGATGAAATGAAATATAGAGCACTAATATATTAATAAGTAATACTTAGTATTTTGTTTTTTTCCAAATTGAGTAAGGAAGGTTGTTGTCCAAAAAGAAAAAGTAAGGAAAGTCAGTGTACTGATCTTTAAACACTTGTTTAAATTGTAGTTTTATTCATTATCAACAGATAAATTTTGGAAGACATTTGCAAACATCTTTTGTATTTTATGTATATCACAGATTTAATATTTAATTTAATATATATAAAACTAAAAAGAATTGCAATTCAAATATTACGTTCCCTTTGGGACATGTAGTCCAAGTAGAGTTGGCAGGGCAGCTCTCGTGTTGAATCAGAATTGACCCAGTTTCAGTTTCAGTTTCAGTTTCAGAAGGACAAAAGCCCGAGTTTTTTAATAGTGAAAGGAAACTTTCTCCCGGCGATCCATTGAGAAAATGAAGAGCAGAGGTAGATTTGGATGGTGGAGCCTCAGATTGCCTTCCGTATTTCTCCTATGTCTCTTCTTCTTCCTTCTCGGGTTCTTCGGCTCTGCTCTCTTCTCTCATCAGGTCTTTTCTGTTTTATTTACTTATATTTACAGCTTATGGTTCAATTAAAACAGATACTAACTAGTACATACATTATTTGGACAGTAGGTGCAGTTGAACTACATATCTAGTTGAACAAATAATTAAACAAGATGTAAATTTATAGCATTAAGTCTGCAATTACTGTTACAAAAAAGTAGACATGTACTGATTAAATTTTTGGGTATGGTAGGATGTACCTAGTGTGCGGCCAAGACCGAGGTTTCTAGAATCAGTGTATAAGGAGGACTTTGATCCGTTGCCCATTGGTGAGACTGGAGAGCATTCCCTAACTTCCATTCCCTTTCAGGTGTGCTTCTCTCTTTTTTAGTTGAGAAACTGTCAACTCTCCTTGTTTTGGATTTTAATTCTTGCTTCTGACCAGGGCGAACATAATTATCTGGTTATTCTGCCGTATATTTCAGTTTTTACTTTTAACCATCAATTCCCTTACTGTTTGAATAACTTTTGAGATAGTTGCTTCTCAAAGATGCGCTGTCTATCATAGCTGAAGTATAATAAATTGGTATTAAATTAAGAGCGACAACGATCAAATCCCCATACTTCTTTTGGGTGAGGGTATGTTCCCATTCGCTATCGTCCTATAATGAAGTGGTGGCATCTTTTATGTACTTAACTTATTCTCATATCTGCGATAGCCAGTGATACCATGTTAACTTCTTTATAACTTAAATCTATGTTGATAAACTTTAAGTCATTGTATACTTATGAACAAAAATAGGTTTTTATGTCTTAACTATTAGTAATTTCATTTATATTGCTTTGTTTCCCTGTAAATATATGTGCATTTTTTGGGTAGGTTTTAAGCTGGTTCCCACGTGCATTATACTTTCCCAATTTTGCATCTATAGAACAATGCCAAAGCATAATTAAGATGGCAAAGGCAAATATGGAACCATCATCCTTAGCTCTTCGCACAGGAGAAACAGAAGAGACCACCAAAGGAATTAGAACAAGGTATATACTACTCAATAACCCTCATATTTGTCAACTGTTGAACACTAACTCCAAGAATTGTATTTAAGTCAATACACTGTCTTAATTTTTGTGTGGTCCTTTATTTATTAGTTAGGTTATTGTTTCCCAAAATCAAATATCGCAGATTTAACCGGTAATCAATTTAAACATGTTTTTTCCCTCCCATTTCTGCTAAACTAGGTCGCTGAAAATATGGTGTGTGCATATATTATCTTATTTTGGAAGATAAAGCGAATTCATAATTTTCAAACTACATGTGCTTCTTTTTTTTTGAATGACTTTCTCTAATTACTTGTGATTTGCTTCTAAAAAATAATTTATGATAGAACTTTGTACTTCATGTGTCAGTATCTTTGACAAGAAACTACAGATCGTGGCATGAGATTTACAATACCTTGTCAATTTTTCCAGTTCTGGCACTTTTATTAGTGCATCTGAAGACAAAACTGGAATCTTGGATCTAATTGAAGAGAAAATTGCAAAGGCGACAATCATCCCCAAGACACATGGAGAGGTAAAGTTCTCTAACATGTATATCCTAAATAAAATGCATTATGCTCTTTTCACCAAATGTCAACTTTGGTTTTGCTTCCATGACTTAGATATTAAAGATCTGGTTGGAATATAGTAGTGGATGTGAACCCCCC